GGGGTCAGAAGCTCTCCCACCTTAGCCACACCTTTGCCCCTCAGGCCAGTAGTGCTCTGCTGAGACCCCTCTCTGCTCGTCAGCCCAGGGCCAACTGGAAGCCATGGTCTGGGAGAACTCATTGTTACTGTCAATCTTCTCTCTAAGCCTCAAGGGGCTATGGCAGGAAGCTCTGTGGAGTTTGAGCAGCATCCTTGCACAGATCCAATAGGGGCTTCTCTGTAATGTCAGGAGCCTGCGTGGTATTTGAAAACTTCATTGCTAACACTTTTTTTTAAATTTAAATTAGAAACAAGCTTGCTTTACATGTCAATCCTAGCTCCCTCTCCCTCCCCTCCTCACCTGCCTCCCTGCCCCCCAGCCCACCACCCAGTCCCCACTCCATTCCCCAGGGAGGGTAAGGCCCTCTATGGGGCATCTCCAGAGTCTGTCATTTCATCTAGGGCAGGGCCTAGGCATTCCCCCATGTGTCCAGGCTTAGGCCTCCTCACTGACACCCACATTCAGGGGGTCTGGGTCAGTCCCATGCTGGCCTCCCAGCCATCAGTCTGAGGTCCATGAGCTCCCCCTTGTTCAGGTCAGCTTGACCCCTTTTCTCATCAGTCCTCCCTCTCTGTCACTGGGTTCCAGGAGTTCAGTTCAATGTTTAGCTGTGGGTGTCTGCCTCTGCTTCCATCAGTCACTGGATGAAGGTTCTGTTTCCCAGACTCTCTACAGTGGGATTGTAGGCTGGCACTCCCCTGATCCATGTCTAAAATCCATATATGAGTGAGCACATACCATGTTTGTCTTTTTGTGACTGGGTGGTTTCTTCTAGTGCCCATTGCTACCACTTTTAGCGAAAACTTAAATTTTATAGTTATTGATGCTGTTTAGAGAAACATCCAAGGTTTACGACTCAAGGGCTATTTGTGATCTTAGAACCAATCTGACTTAAGCTTACTGAATTTAAGACCGGGTGCAGCCTCCAGAGCAAACAAAGAAAAGCTGCCAGGGTTATTACAGGGTTAGCTCCACATTTGTGGGACTTTTCACAGCTGTTTGTATATTCTTATTCTCTGGACAGTGAAAAGCCACTCCCCATCCCTGAAATGACATCTCTACTCTCAGGCCACAGAAGTGTTATGATCTGACAAGTGGTTTCATACAGTCTCATGGCAAACGGCAGTCATTGGTTTCAGCCTCTCTCAAGACAAAGGAAACATAATCCCTGTAAAAATCTTACAGTACACTCACAGCAAGATGCCTTTCCCGTGCAGCTTCTGGAGTTCCTTTAAAAGAAGGTTCCCCAACTTTCAAAAGCAATTTCAGGGACTGCTGTGTGCTGGGTATTTTTCCAGGTTCCCAAAGCTTCTCAGTGCAGATTCTTTCTCTGGCAGATTATGTCATTGCAATGAGACCTTGCCTGAGTTCAGACAGACTGGATGCCTGGCTGTCTCTTCCTACAGCTAGAAATGCCTTAGTCCAGGGTTTCAAGGTTCACCTGCAGAGTGAATCCCTTTGATACACTGTAGTGTTCACTTCTACCAAGCATCTCATGCTTGATTCTTTGAAGGTTTTTGGAAAATTGATCAGCTAAAACCTCTAGCATTGAAACTTCGGTTTCTAAACCACAGAACAGAGTCGACAGCATGGCTAGATGGTATTGTTTCCTTCAGAGACTTCAGTGTCAGGAGAGAAGGAATTTACTGATTCCTGTCAACTTTCATATTTAAGGTTCCCTGTCCACCACCCATCCCTCTTCAGCTCCCCAGGAATTCCTTCTCTGAGTTCTGTCTTTTAGAAAGCGGCCCACATGCTCTGCAGTATTCAGAGCTAGAACTTGGTAGAGTCGGCAGGGTTCAGGGATGGGGCAGGGAGCACACTGGAAGGTCAGGGAGCTGTCGCTCGTCTTGTTGCTGGCCAAGGTGGAACTTGATTGTGAGCGTAGTGTGCAGAGTGTGGACATATGTGATGTGAAGTACAGTTGTGCGCTGTGTGGCGGTGTGAAGATGGGCACTGGCATAGGTGTGGTCAGAACGTGTGGATTGACGCTCACCTACAAGAGGAAAACCACGACGAAAGCAGAGCAAAGGGCTGGGGAGGCACCAGGCAGGGCTGTGGCCTCCTTTCTCCTGTGGTTTTCTGCAGGGGCTGGGGAGTCAGTGGGTTTTTCTGGGCTGTGTGGGGTGAGGGGCCGGGGGGCTCTTCTCCTGGAGAAGATTTGGCAAATGATAACTTGTGATCAATGACTTTTTCCTCAGATGTGGTGTAACACATGGTTGATAGTGATTTCTCTTCCAATAGATGAAACGAGGAATCATTGTAACTCGGTGCTGCTCTGAGAAATACATCTGAGCAGTGTTTTGATAGTTTTCAAGAAAGATGGCCTTGTTCTCTAATTAGCTATTGTTCGTTTACAGCTGTTCTGACAAAGCAGCTGTGGATACTTTTTCCTGTAGAAAAATGCTGCAGAAGGTTGGGTTCCAGTTGGCTTGGAAGCTTGTCTAATCAGCAAGTTCTCTTCAGGCCTAGGACAGAGCCCTGGGGTTATTAGTCTCCTTAGAATCAAATAGCAGTGAGATGGGGGAGATGGATAGGTAGGCCCTTAAGGTAAAAATAGCCTTCCTTGTCTTTTTAATCAGGAAATACTTTGTGTCTGAATCTTGGCACTCTACTTAGAAAATCTTCTAAGAAAAATGTATGGTGAGTCTATTAAGCACTTATTTGGGGAGGGGGTGTCTGTTAGCAAGTAACTTTGTATCCGACAGTCCGGAAGACAGCGAATAAAGCTGCCACAGACACAGGGTCTAAAGATAACAGTCTACTGTAAGTGTTGTTTCATTTGAAAAAAAAAATCTGCTTCAAGAAGGCTTTTCTCAGGGCTGGAGAGATGTCTCATCGGTTAAGAGCCCTCGATGCTCTTCCAGAGGTCCTGAGTTCAATTCTCAGCACCCACATAGAGGCTCACAACTGTCTATAACGGGATCTGATGGCCCCTTCTGGTGTGCAGACATATGCAGACAAAGTCCTCATATACATAAAATACATTTTTAAAATTCCCTTTTTTTAATTAAAAAAAAAAAGCTTTTTTCCCATGTCTGGAGATAATCTCTGGAGACATTCAAATAACAGGTTGTCATTCTTATCTTTAAATATAGCTGGTACGAGTGTCCCTCAAGTCATGTCCTAGTGAACTAACACTGTCTTTTAAAGAATTTATCACTCCTGAATTAAATTCCCTGACAGGCTGCTGATCACCCCTGGCACTATGTAAGAGTGGGGAGCTATGAAATGTTCTCAGATGGCTTTTCCTGCCACTCCCCCCAGCCCAGGCACTCTGTTCTTCATACACTTGCAGAATGTATACACTTGGTTAACATGCACCTTTTGCATTCAGAAGCAGCAAATTAAATTTGTCTGAGCAGAATTGCTGTGTGCATGGAGGGGAAAAGTAATTTCTGCCCAAGCAGTTCCCCTGTCTCCTGCTCCTAGCACGGGCTGTTTTAATAGGAAGGGAGCTGAGGATGGAGCTCAGGATGGCAGCAGAATCCCAGGAAGAGACAGGCACAAGATGCTCGGTTCTGGCAGCATGGGTTTGTAAACAAAGTGACACAAATTGGGGCAGAAATTCCAGTGGGACCAGGCAAGAGACTAGAAGACTGGAAATATAGCACAAAGCTGAGTCCCAACCAGATGGTGTTTTTAATAAATTTATCAGGCTCATATGAAAGACAGTAATGAATATTCTAAATGGGGAGTGGCCTGTTTCTCTAGGGAGAGCAGCTGTGCACTGTCCATGTGCTACAGCCAGGTAGGGGCGCTCTCTAATTCTTCTCAGCACAAAGACCGCTTTGGGCAGGCCAGGTAGGCAAGCTGAGGCTTGCTTTTCTAGGAGAAGAATTAGTAATTCAAGTATTTTCTGCCGAAATGAAGGAAATAGCCTCTAGTTGATATACTTAGTAGTGACATTTGGGACAAACTTCCTTATCTGTGGAGAGTGAACCAACTAGTTGGCAAAGACTTCAGTACGGGCTTGTTCCACTTTGAAAATAAGCTCATTGTTTAGAAGATGATGTGAACTTATTGACTCTGCGCCACTATGAAGTTAGAATGTTTTAGTGTGGTGAGTGGTGGTGACATTACTCACTGTCTATCTTTTCTGAGTGACTAGCAGTAAACTTGGGTTAAATGACTTAAGTGTTTAAAGAAGATTTTAGATTTTGATGGTATAACAGGAATACTCAGCCCCAGGGCTCCCCGTGCCTTGTACTTTATCATCGGTATCTTTGTGTTTGGAGAGTCTCTATCACACCGAGCAGCTGTCCTAGCTTTGTGGGAGCCCTTGACTTTTATAAATGAGCAGGTCGACATGGACTTGAAGTACAGAGACTCAGAATCAAAACACAGCTGCTTTTTTAAGACCCAGCAGCTCCTGAGCAAGGGAGGCACTATTTGGCCGTGCCCTGAACAGCAAGCCCAGTGGAGTGGGTCGGGTGAAACCTACTGTGTGTTCTGATAGTGTGTCTGCGACCCCTTTCCTGCACTACAGAATTTGAGCTGCTGGATGTATAAGTTTTCTACTCAACATGTATGTAGCTGTAGCTCATTAGACCCAATTACTGACCAGGGCACAGCTCAGTGATAGAGTACCTGCTTTGAATGTGTAAGACCCTGGATTTAACCACCAGGACACATTAAAAATCCATCCATACTGATGAAAAGTTTCTCAGTGAGTTATGTCTTAAAATGTATTTCTACATTCTGTTATCATGCTCTTGTAATGAAATACTTAAGAATTAATTGCTACATATGGTTTGGATATTCCAACCTGAAGGTTTAGTTTTTGTTTCTTTAATTATTTGGCATGGAAACTCTTATCTGAAGATAATCAGGATCTTCTAGTTTCCTTTTTAATGTTGCTTTGAGATGCTAATTAATTAGTTTTGTTCTGAGCATGCTATAGGGATGTAGTTGGCTTCTCTTATCCTGATGCCGGATCTTGTGCTTTGGATTCACAGTTCCCATGGAGAATGTTGCAACAATTGCTGATTGTGCCAGCGTGATTGAAGGAGTCAGTCGAAGCCGAAATGCCTTGCTGAACGGGGACACTAAGAATTATGACTGGGATTCTGGCTACACGTGTCACCAGCTGGGAAGTGGTGCAATTGTGGTTCAGCTGGCACAGCCATACATGATTGGGTCAATACGGTAAGATTTCTTTGCATTTGTAGGCTCAAAGAGTGCAGATACACATAATCACCAACTGCTTCAGAGAAGAGATTCTACTATTTATTATAAAGATTGGAGGCAGGCAGGGAGACACCAGCTGTCTGTTTGGATTGTTGAGTAGGGAGCAATGCTAAAAGTGGATCTCAGGTCAGCTGGGAGGGAAGGACCTGAATGGGACGCCTCCCTGTGAGGCTCTCCTGCAGCCTTGCCGTGTGTGGGTTAGAAACTTATGGGGTGACATCGAGGGGTGCTGTGGGTAAAAAGCCGTGTTCAGCTTCGTAAACACCTTTGTATATGAATCAGAGACCCAGATAAGAAGCCTGGTTCTGGACAGTCTTTTTAGTGGCCTTGTGTTTGAGTCTCTTCTTGATCCATTTTGTTTTAAGAAAGGAGCTTTAATTTTGCTTGACTTACAGGATGTTATTAGTTTTTAAGCGTAAGACTGGTGACATCCCCCAGAAAGTTAGTTCTTGAGGGCAGGTACTATTTTCATTTGTATGCCCTTCCCTCCCCTCCCCTCCCGTCCTCTTCTCCCTTGGTTCTAAGGAGGCCTTTGAAGGGCTCATAGAGGAAAACATAAATGTCTGTCTACCCCAGTCCTCTGGGGGGGAGGTGCTGGCAGGTGGGACTGCCCCCTCATGGTGCTGTTCTACACTTGGCTGACTCCTCCCTACCCTCACGGTAGACAGTCTGTCGGAGAAAGCAGAGGGAGGCTTGTGCAGACACAGGCCTCCTTGTGCTCAGGACGAACACTGTGGCTCAGTGCTGCTCTGTAGTTCCCACCCATGCTGAGGAGCCAGGGCTGGAGGCCTTGGATTGGGACTGTTGGATTCCTTCGTTGCAGTTAACCCCATTTCATCAGAGCCACCTCCCAGGCCGGATGACCCCACAGGCCTTCCTCTTCTGAGCTGTGTGTGCACTACTGTGTCCCACAGTCTACCTAGCAAGCACTCTTAGGGCTTTTGTCATGGATGATGTAAACTGTGTCTCTGTTTCCCTTTGTAGTCGTCCCTTCTCACGAATGTGCTAACAGTTGTCTTTCTTTTGTCTTCTGGCACTGTCTCCCCTACAATTTCTTGAAGATTACCAATCGTGTCTCTGAGATTACATCTGCAATTTCTTGCAGCAGGCTTAGGGTGTAACTCATCTGAGCCAGAAGACTTGAAATCATTTAAATTGACTAGACACTCTCTTTCACTTCACCTATTTGGGACTCCAATTTTCTCTTTATTATGTTTGTCCTGCCATTTCTAATTTGAGGGCCAGTCTTCTTTCCAATGAAGATTGAAGCAAACGGGCAGCTTCGTACCTCTGTCTTCTTTAATGGCTCTGACTCCCATTCACTCCCCTAGCACTGGGTACCCTCCCCTAACTGTGTCCACGTGTGTCTCACACCACGCCAGCTAAAATGGAATTCTGTTGTCCTTCCCCTTCCCGCCCTAGTCACCCTTACGTCAGTGTCACTATTCACCTTTGGTGTGGTGACTTCACACATCTTTGAACCTAGCCAAACCACAAGGTCCTTCCTAAATTTGTCCCTCTCTTTTATCCCCCTCGCTGCCCTGGAGTCCATCCTGAGGTTCTGTGCTGCTCCTAAACAGCTCCAAGTTCTTCCTTCTCCACTCACCACTGTGTAGCTAAGTGGAACCTTTGTGCAAGGTGTGGCTTCTCTACACGGTCCACCTTTTGACCCTCTCTTCCCCAGCACACCATTCCTGACTCCTCTGCCCAAAGCAGGAGTGGTAAGCCCAGAAGAAACAACGGTATTAGTGAGTTCTGTTACAGCCGGGACTCTTGTGTCTTCAGGCCACCCCAGCTGCTGTGTCAGTCTGTCAGTAGGTCAGACTGTGCTCCTTTGTGCTGTGCTTTTGAGTCTTGGGTCATACTCCCTCTCACTCTCTCTTTGGTGTTCCTGAATCCACACGGGAGTGCTGGCCACCCTCCCATTGTCGTCTGAGCTTACTGGGACACCCTCTGTCTTAGTTAGGGTTCTATTGGTGTGATAGAATGCCAGGACTCAAAGCAGCTTGTGGGCTAAAGGGTTTATTTCAGTTTACAACCCTTGGACCACACCCTGTCACTGAGGGCAGTCTGGGCAGAAAGTCGGGGCAGAACTGAAAAGAGGCCATGGAGGATGCCGCTTCCTAGCTTGCTCCTCCTCCTCGCTCAGCCTGCTTTCCTATAGAAATCAGGATCACCTGCCCAAGTGTGGCCCTGCCTACTTGGGCCCTCCACATCAGTCAGTAGTTAAGAAAACATCCCAAAGGCATCCCCACAGCCCAGTCTTTGGAGGCATTTTCTTGATGAAGATTTCCTCTACTAGGTATGTCTAGGTTTGTGTAAACTTGACAGAAGCCAGCCAGTTCCGCTTCGTCAAGCACCTGCATGGGTGTAGACCCCCTGTCATTGGGACCAGCGGTTGACTTGTTGACTCCCCCCAGCCTTGCTTGCTACTCGGGGCCTGAGATAGCTCAAAATCAGTTTCTCATGCCAGATTGAATGTGCCCCTGAGGCAGTCTATGTGGACAGACCGAGAATTACAACAGGTTCAGGAGAAAATTTACTATTTTAAATCCAGCAGAGGCCCTCTGAGATGGTTGTCAGGGTGATGGCTCAGACAAACAAGGGCTTGTCATGGGGCTAGGCCACCTTGGCCTCTAGCTCTACCAAAGACTTGAATTCTGACTGTCTGAGAAAAGCACTCCAGACAGGCGGAGTGGGCCCACCTGGTTTTATCTAAGTGTGGAATGAGAATGGTTCCTCCAAACAATTTCTTTTTTCCTGACTCAGAGGAGAGGTGATGAGCAGGCACACAACCTGAGGCAGAATTGTATATCTCATCACAGTGTGGCGCCTCTAACTTCCTGAAGCCCACTGTTGTTTCTTCAGTAAGAAAATCCATTCAGCTGGAGCGCTGTGTAACTAGCCAGGCATTCAAAGAGACACGTCTTGGTGACGCTAACATTATGCTGTCAGAACTGCATTTGCCTCTTCTGTGACATTATTAAGAGGGAAGGAGGGAGGTTTCCTGGCCACCAGTGCCCATGGACAGCACTGGGGGTCTTGGCAGGCTGCAGCTGCAGCAGGCGATGCACCCAGATAGACGTTTATTGATGGGAAACTAGGTCAGTGGCACCTTCTCCTGGGGATGACAATTGACCAGCAATGGGCTGATTAGTCAGTAGCGTTTGACCCACAGCTTCTATTGCTCATGATGACTGACTTGCTTTCCTGGTCACTGCACCCGTAGCCACCCAGGGATTCGGCATCCACACCTGCAGGGCAAGGGTTACAGAGCTGAGATTCATTCTGCCCAGCACAGTGGTGGCAAACTGGGAACCTGGGAACGCACCTTCCCTGTCACTTAAGCTTTGAAACTACGATTTCTTTACAGTTGGTGACTTCTCAGGGTAAGGTCCCAATGGCTGATGTTCTTTATCCCTCATATGGTATACAGTGTGCTATGGATAAGATCTTTCAGTCTTCCTGAGAGCTTGCTTTCCTGGCAGAGAGTGCTTGGGCCCCATGGTCAGCAGAACCCAGTCCTGCTAGTGTGTCTGGCAGGAGTAAGTACCCTGTGGTGTCCTGGGGAGGGTGGCTGGAGCATGATCTCTGATCATCTCCCTACCCCTTCATTTTCTTTCATTCATTCAACAGACACTTGCCTTTTTTCTGTGTGTCAAATGTGGTGGTAGATGCTGAAAATACAGCATTGAATGAACGAGCTAAGCACTGGCATGTTCTCGGAGCTGACATTCAGGGCAGAGATAGAAGAATGAAACAAGCATGTTTATAGTGTGCTAAATTCAGGAGGAGGAAGCAGAAAGGAGGGGAACAGTTCAGTTTTGGAGTGGGTGGCCCGAGAGGGGACACGTGTGCAGAGGTGGAAAAGCAGGCGCCCTGGAGACCCAGGGTGAGTACCGCAGACAAGTGCCAAGGAGTGGAGGAGGAGGGAGAGCAAGAGGCAAGACCGGGGAGATTTGGAGGGTGACAGCCAGGAGGGGTTGTGGCCACCATCTCCACACTTAGCACCCACTCCGCAAACCACCTCCTCCCCACACAGTCCATCACAGGCTTTATGAATGCCGTATGGGAGCCGAGGAAGAGGAGGAGCCTGACAGCAGGCCCTTCCTAGAGCGGCCCTCTTGCTCCTCTGTGCTCCAGCTTCTGCAAGAGCCAGCTCCCAGCATTCCCCCTTGGGCGGGACTGGAAGCATGGCAGCTGGTCCTTGTGGCTAGGTTTACAGCACAGCAGACTTTACTCAGTTTTAGGAAGAAAGAAAGATTTCCAGGAATGTGCCTTAAAAGTAGGTAATTGAGTAGTAATTGTATTACTTCCCTGGCATTCTAAAAACACTAAAATTTAAATAACAGGGGATCTTCAGAGGCCTGACCACATAAAAGACCAGGCAAGAGTCATAATAACTAAGCAGATCTGTTACGTCTTAGTTATAGTCCCCCTGTCACCTGAGTTTAAGACTGATTATCTTTCTGCTTGCTGATGGAGATATCCTGTTAAGGGCTCTCAAGTCTGGGAGGGGAAGCCAAGCGCGCTGTTTAATGAGCTCACTGAACACCTGCGTACCCTTCCCAGCTGATAGATGACAGACCTTACCTAAACCCTAACTGTAAGATAATCAATGAAATTAACAAATTTTACATTAGCTTGGAAAGAAGGGTTTTGTGATTGATACATTCATTCGAGTAAGTAAAATGCCCAGACTGCTTTAAATAATAAGCCTAATTGTAAGTAAATAGGCTGCCCAAGGAGGTCCAGTATCAATAGACAGCGCTAAATAAACATAGATTAAGGCGTTAATGATACAAGAACACTTTGAGTCCGAGTGGTCGGTTGAAATATACACTTGCGTATATACTGAATGGGTCTAGCCCAAAGGATATTCCTGATGTGTATTCATCATCTCTTTGGTCTGAGGTGATGGGGGTTTTATTTTTCAGTAGAGAGAAACCCGCCCTCAG